AATTTATCTTCACTGAGCCCCGCGACCTAGTACGTGGCGTGTGTCCAACAGCTTCACTCTCATCACTCTTATCCGAATTCTGCGGTTGCTCTTTGGCCTCCGCTTTACCTTCGTGATGCTCATCCGTGTCTGACTCCTCGCTCACATTGTAGTACGTGGAGCTAGTCATGGTGGTGTCCTGCACCTGATCGTGTGCATCCCAGCCATCCAAGCTCTCAGCTTCTTCTTCTGCAGTGCCATCTCCCGCTGTACCATAAGTAGAGCTGGACCTCACATCCGCCTCTGAGTCTTCGGTTTCAACATCAACCATTTCCACTTCATCGGCTTCTTCCTCTTCGGCATCGTCGTCGTCATCATCGTCGTTTGTTTGCGATTCTGTTTGCGTGGTCTCTTCCTCAAGAGCCGAGCCAACTGAGTCCTCTTCCTCCTCCTCATCCACATTGGCATCGACGTCCTCGTCTTCGGTATCTTCTTCAGACTCCTGCTGCTCATCCTCCTCCTCTTCATCTTGCTCACTGTCATCATTCATATGTTTTAAAGGAGCTGCAATCGTAGCTCTTCTCTCCAACAGTTTTCTGCGCGTGGCGGCAACAGAGACACTGTCTCTTCGCCCCCGCTTGGGTGGGGTTGTCTTGACACTGTTGTTGGGTGCCACATTGGATTTCAGAGGCGTCTTCAACATCTTGCTCATGGCAATGTTTGCCGACTGCCTTTTCGGACGCTCCTCGATGACCAATGAGGAATCCTCTAGAGCGGATGCGGCTGCAGATGCCGCCAAAGCTGTGCGTGTTGTCTTTCTAGTGGGCGGTGTGAGGACATTGGTCATGCTGACCGCGCCCAGAGAATGGAGACGGGTGTGCCGCTGAACAGGCGTTGCGGCAACTGTACCCTTGCCCTTGCCGCCTGTTGTTGGCCTCTTGTTGTTACTACTGCTTCGGCTACTGCTGCTGACCCCCACCCCTGACTTCTTCCCCGTCCCCGTGCCTGAGGCCACGGGAGCACTTGAATTGAGGCTGTTCTGGCGATTACCCCTAATCGGAGCCGATCTTCTATTTTTGCTGTTGCTACTGTTGCTATGGCTACTGACACTCCTACTCAACTTCTGAGATGAATTGCTGCGATTTACCCTCCCCAGTGGTCGCTTTTTGGAATTGGAATCTTGTTTGCTATTAACCTGATTACTCGAGTCCTTGCGACTGTAGGTAAGCATCTCGTCGGGTTCCGATTCCTGCTTAAGCAGCTCCTCCTCCTTGTGCATGGCCGCCAACCGATTGGCCTCCCACTCGCGCTTTTGGGCTTCCAATTCGGCCTCCGCCGCTCGCAACTGTTCTGCTGTCCACGCTGCTCCAGTGGCTTCCACAAAGCGCATGGCATAACGCTCGATAGGCGAGAGCTGAATGGGGATAAAAATCATTAGTTCGTTGGGTCCTTATGAGGTCTTAAACATATTAACTTATTTATTTATATAAAACTTATTTGAGATTGAAATCTATAGCAAACTAATTAGTTTTTAGCACTAGTCTTTAGATAATTAATTTTAAATTGTCAGACTTTGAGTGATACAATCGTGGCCTAGGTTATGTCGCCTCAACTATGTCTGAAGGTCTGAACCCCAAAATGAGGTTGTTCTTAGCATCTCTTGCTTTATTGAATTCGCTTAGAAATACGAATTCAATTTAAACTGCAAGTGATGCCATAACTTAAACCAATGTTGTATCTTACAATGTTAGACTTTGAGTGATACAATCGTGGCGTGGGTTAGGTCGCCTCAACTATGTCTGAAGGTCTACTTCCCGAAGGAATATTTCTCTAAGCAATTCTTGTTTCACCGAAATCGCACAAAAATGCTGTTTCAGTATTAAATGCAAGAACTGCAACCATTAATAAACTTACTCTTAAAAAGGATTTTATAAATTCTTTAAAATTTAAAAACATTTTTAAACTGTATTTTCCCCCTTTTGGGTGACTCACCTGTTTGACCAGGTTCTGCATCTCCAGATCGGCCTTGCTGAGTTCCACTCCCTCTGCATTTGCCTCCTCCGTTGCAATAGGAATGTTCTCGTCAAACTCTGCCAGATCTGCGGCCACCTCTGCTTTTGCTGTCTTCGTGGCCTGCACATCCTGCTCGTCCTCAGCGGCGGCCAAAGCGTGCTCGAAGGCGCGCAGAGACTGTTTCTCTGTCTCCACCACCGTCGTCGGCGTGTCCACAAGCGTTGTTGTAGCCACAATTGTATCTTTATCTTCCGGCTTTTCCTGGCTAGTCTCGTCTTGCTCGTTCTGTTCCATCGTAAAGAGATCCTTGATAGTGGAACTCTTGAAGAATGTTGTGGTGAAGTTGCCACCCTCGATGGCCATGTCGGTAAGCATTCGCTTTTGGTTCGCCTTTTTGAGGATGTTTACTTCTATGGTTTTTTCGGAGACCAGTCGGTAGATGTGGACATCTCGCGTCTGGCCAATTCGATGGCATCGATCCTGGGCCTGCGCATCCATGGTGGGATTCCAGTCCGAGTCGTAAAAGATCACAGTATCGGCACCCGTCAGATTGATGCCCACTCCACCGGACCGCGTGGAGAGGATAAAACAGAAAATTCGTTTGTCTCCATTAAAGCGCTCCATAAGAATTTGGCGCTGCTCCACCCGAGTGGAACCATCCAAACGCAAATAGATGTGGCCGTGGTAGTTCAGGAACGCTTCCAAGACATCCAACATCTTGGTCATCTGGGTGAATATCAGAACACGATGCCCCTCAAACTTAAGCTGCCGGAGCAAACGATCCATGGTCTGGAGCTTGCCACAGTCGTACTGAATGAGACGCGGATCCGGGAACTGAGTGGTCATTGCCGAAATTATTGGATGCAGCAAGGCCAACTTTGGCAACAGGGCCTGACCCACAGTGTTTTCGATCTTGCGCTCATACTGCCAGTGCGTTGATGCAAGATTCTGTACATAGCGACGGATTCGCGGCGCACACACGGGAGGAACATAGATCACAAAATTGGCAAACAGTGGATTCAGATCCACACATCTCTCCTCCCAGCTCTTTAGCAAATGGTTCAGTGACCAACCATCCCGGCGCGACATGGCTGTGCAGCAATTTGAGTAGCCACGTGTCTGCCAGGTTGATCGCTTTAGCGATCGTGTCGCCTGCATACAACGCTGCAAAGCTCTGCGACAATCCTCGCCATATATGGGAGTGGCATCGGTACGCCGCCGATTTATCATAGCCATACGTTTCAGCGAGGCCAATCGCTGCTCCTTACGCATCTGAATCAGCTCCTGCACCTTGTAGGGATCCTCGGTCTCAGTTTCCTCCTCGGGCTCAGTTTTTCCATTGGCAATGCTTTGCTTCTGTGCTGTGCTTTTTACATGCGAGGCTAGATCTTTGACAATGGGATCCCTTATTAGTGGCTGCGCAGTAGAAGTGGCGGTGACTGTTGTTCCGGATATCGTCGTCGCCGACATGGCTGTGGTTTTACTTGTTAAGGTGAGACGAGCTCCAGCTGCTCCCGAATTTGTCGCCGGTGTGAGGTAGAAAAATGGCTTTCCGTCTTGCATCGTCTTTGCCACTTTGGCGGGCGTTGGTGCGTTTATTTGCGAGCGTGCGCCCAGCAACTTGGAGTTGCTAAGCACACTTAAGGCCCCAGTGGGAGAAGACGCTGCAGTTGATGACGCTGTTGTCACCACACTGTTGATCACCACTGGTTTCAAAGCCATATTCACAGGGTTAATGGAGGCACTGACCCGTTTCAGAACCCTACCACTTGGCAGCAAACTGCGCATTGGCACAATTTTGGACCCCTCCAAGCGCATGGCAGGACTGGCTCCTATTTTCACCGCATTCAACTTGATGCGCTGCGCAAGCTCAGCACTGCGTACTCGTATGTGGAAACGGTATTTGCCGTTGGGACAGCGGGGAGCTGGTTGCGGAGCTGTATCGATCTCCTCGATAAACTTACGAGGCGGGGCGAGCAGGCGGGATTTGTGCGAGACGTAGGCGGTCATAGTTTGCTCCAGATGCAACAGCAAAAGGTTTACAGTCTCTAGGTTGATTTGCTGCAAAAAAAAAAGATACAATTAGTTGTTGATTTCATTTGTAATGCTATCTTAAAAATGTTTTAGTGATAAATCGAATCAGACAAATGCCTCGCAAATGCGAACATCCTGGGAAAAGTTTACGACTCTCTCCAAAATAGATTAAGCCCAATTATCAGTGACAGTTTAACATCATTTTCTACCCAAACCCGAAGTGAAGGATTCGGAAGACACTTCTTTAACTCACCGTGAACGGATCATACTCCATTATGTCGCACACGAGTCGCGGCGTGTGGAATGTAATGCCCTCCATTTGAAATGGCGAGATTGTAGGTCGCACTTCAAACATATTCGGGTGATTGCACACCTTTCGCAGCTGCATCAGAACATTAATCACACTCAGCAAGTTACCGGTTTGCAAGGTTTCCCTTGTTCTATAGGAAAAACATAAATAAGATTAATAATGAATTCATCAATCGTGATAAAATTAAAACTTACTTGGACCGACTCATGAAATCCTCGTACAGATAGCGCTGGCGATTCGACAGACGGCACATGACCACATGCTCGTACTTCTTTGGCATTTGTTTTTCCACCTCCTTCTTGAGGCGTCGAAGTAGGAACGGACGAATCACCTGTACGGAAAAATAAGAACAATATGCTAATTACTGCGCATTTAGTTTGAAATTATGGAGAACATTTTAAAAGGGTAGTGGTGTCAGGGGCGTTTTCAATGTGAGCAACTTGGTTGAATTTTGAGCACATGGATAAGACGCATCTTCTTGATCTAGCAAACTAACAAATTGTCATCACACGAGGCTATGTTTTAATGTGACACAGAGTGCATTTGCGTAACAGGGACCAGTCCTGACATTAGTCTTAAAGAAAAGACTGTTCACAATGTAAACGGATTAGAGTTAGAGGGACTAAAATCTCTTGTTAGTAGCAATAAAAATATTTCATTTATAATGGTGTAAGGTGCGTTTTCAATGTAATCAGCCTGATCGGCATTAATCACATGGATAAGACGCATCTCTTTCATTTAGCAAACTAACAAATTGTCATCATATGTGGCTTAAATTCATATGACACAGAGTGCATTTGCCCACCTAAATTATTGCCAGATTTCGTGGTCTTTAAAAAGGGTGTTCACAATGTAAACGGATCGAAGCTATAAAAACAAAAATCACTTGCAACTGCGACGATTACTTTTGCACACATCTACGATTTTCAAGAGCATTTAACGGGCTGGCAAGAAAACGCTTTTAGGTGCAATGGAAATATTATACTTATGATGGTGTAAAATGCGATTTCAATGTTATCAGCCTGATCGGCATTAATCACATGGATAAGACGCATCTCTTTTATATAGCAAACTAACAAATTGTCATCACATGTGGCTTAATTCAACGTGACACAGAGTGCATTTGCCTAACTTAAATCAATTCCATATTTTAGTCTTAAAGAAGGATGTTCACAATGTAAACGGATCGAAGTTATAAAAAACTAAAATCACTTGCAACTGCGAGGATTGCTTTTGCACACATCTACGATTTTCAAGAGCATTTAACAGGCTGGCAAGAAAACGCTTTTAGGTGCATTTCCAACATCACTTATAGTCAGCCATATGGAATTCTGCCATGAGAGAAAACAGAAACACTTGCAACTGATCTTTACTCTGGCACACATCTACGATTTTCGAGAGCATTTAATGGGCTGGCAGGAAAACGCTTTTAGGTGCTAAACTCAATACAATGTACACTTAGTTTTCGATTGATTGATATGCTTACCTTGTGCAAACGCGTTATCAAAGTCTCGTTGTACTCCATGTTGCCTTCAATCATGCCCGTCATTGGGTTGGAGAACCACTCCTTGAACTCGCGGTGCGATGAGAACACATAAGGCATAAGGAAGTGCATCAAGGACCACAGTTCCATCAGATCGTTCTGCAGTGGGGTTCCAGTCAACAACAGACGCCTACAGAAATTAGAGAAAAAAACTTATAAAATCCATTCCTATTAAAGGCTTCTGAGTTATTTGTATCGAAACAAGGCCACAAGCATTCTAGGGCTGGATTAGCATGCTCTGGTTTAGTATGCGGCATTATAGCGAATTTACTTTTAGCACCCAAGCGTAGTCGCCATACTAGTTTAGCAATCGCATGGTTACTGATTTTTGGTGCTGGCTGGCAGAATAAGCAATTGCAGTTGCAATCCCCAATTACTCACCTCTCTGTGGAAAAGTTAAGTAGCAGCTGCCAACGTTGGGACTTGAAGTTCTTAATATTCTGCGCTTCATCCAGGATAAGGTACTTCCACTTTTTGCGTCGAAAGCTCTGTTGATCTTGCACCACCAGCTTGTATGACGTGATGCACACATGGAAAGCATTGGGCTTTGTCCAGCCCACGCGCTTAAGCTTGCGCTCTTTTTGAGAGCCGTAGTAGGTGAGTATTTTGAAGCCGGGACACCACTTCTTGAACTCCATTTCCCAGTTAAGCATCACAGACGAAGGCACCACAATCAGGTGAGGTCCCCAGTTGCCCCTGGCACAGGCAAGGTGGGCCAACAGAGCGATAGTTTGAATGGTCTTGCCCAAGCCCATCTCGTCAGCCAGGATGCCATTTAGCTTGCGCTCGTTCATGGTGACCAGCCAATCGAGTCCGATATGCTGGTACTCACGCAAAGAGTGCTTCAGCAGGAAGGGCACTGGGGTAACCACATTGGTGGAGGACAAGGTGTTGCCCTTGGGCTGAAGACTCTCTGCCAAGGCAGCTGCATCGTTAAGCATATCATCTTTGTTGCCACTTGCTCCAGCAGTGGTTCCACTGCTAGCAGCTCCTCCAGTTGCTTCGGCATCCGTAAGCAGACTCTTAAGGCCGTCATCGTGTTCCTCCTGCTCCTCCATATCCGTATCAGTTTTGATTGTGGACAGATCTTCTTCATCCTCGGTGGCTTCCTCTTCGCTTTCGTCAGTGGATTCATCAACAGCCGTTGAATCATCATCAGAGTCCAGCTCAGGGTCACGAGGCTCCAGCTTGCGTCGCTTTGGACTAGGAGGCTGGTCACTGACTCTGGACGACTTGTATTTCGCTAGCAGCTGCTCCACTGAGAGATCATTGTCGGCCTCTAATTCATCGATCTCTTTTTTGTGGTCGACCTCCTGCTCGGCCTCTTCCTGCTTGCTGATAGTATTCTCGTCATCATCGCTGGCTTCCTTTGCCTCGAACTCACTGTCGTCGCTGTCATCAGGAGTTTCAGTTTTTATAGCAGAGCTCTGCTCCTCTTTCAGAAGCTTATCACGATTCTCCAGATAGCCAGGTGGCAGATCATTGAGGAAGTCATCAAAGTCCATCTCAGACTCCTTGGCCAAAGCAGTCACCTCGTCTTTAACATCGGCTGCTTCTTCTTCGGCCTTGGCAATAGTCTCCTCATCGTCTTCGGAACCAGACTCCGGTCGGAAGTCATCTGCAAAGATTGAGAATATTTTGTTTAGCATGTGTATTAAGCTTGAGATACCGAATGATCGATATGGTTTAAAAGCATCAGGCAAATGCCTCGCAAATGCGACCATCCTAAGTTAACATCGAAGTGTTCAAAAATAGACCACAACAACGTTTCAGTGTGTAATTTATCATCAGGTGCTGAGATTTCTGGTTTATTACTATGCCGAGGAATAACTTACCATCGGACTCCCGTTTCGGCGATGTAAGACGGCTGGAATTAAGACTTGGCGTGTCCACCACACTCTTGTTCATTCCCTCGGCCAACTGCTGCGAAAACTTTTCCGTCTGGTCCACAATAAAGCTAAGATGCTGGTCTAGAGCCTGCTTCCGCTTCTCCTCGATCTTGGTTTGGTGCTTGTACTCGACCAGCTTCTCGACATTTGACCAGAAGCTCTTCACTTCGCGCGCAATGAAGGAGGCCACACGCTTAAGCTGTAGCTCCTGGGCCTTTTCCGCCCTTTGGGCGGCGGTGGCCTTATCCTGGAAATACTTCTGCACCATCTTGGCGCACTTCTTGGCTGCGTTTTTTTTCCACTTGCGTTCCTGTGCAAAGTCAGCCGCCAGCCAGACCATCTCCTCGAGGAGGTAGTCCCAGTGCGCCTTGGGTCGGCTGGGCTCCTGAAGCTTGGGCAAGCGCCGCTCAGTCCATAATCCCTCTCGCTGTAGTTCCGTAATACGCTGCATCACGTACACCTCCTGCTTGGCCTTAAAGGAGAACTCCTGCGCCGCGCTGTTTGGCGTGCCAGAGCCGCCGGCCAACGCAGGGCTAAGCAGGCTGCCGGAAGTGGGAGTGCCAGGCGTGAGGGCTCCGCTTCCACCCAGCGCTGCTGGGCCATTACCCGTGTAGAGCGGTGTGGGTGTACCGCTTCCTCCTCCTCCAGATGCCGCGGAGGATCCGCTTGCGGCATTGTTCTGACCTTGAGGACGCCGTAGCGTTGTAGATCCCACGGGTAACAGCGGAGTGCCACCTTTTAAAAGAAGCCAACAAACGATCGATTAGCTCAAGAAATATTTAGTTATAGGACGGTGGTAATAGATCAATTCTTGGCATGCTGGAAAATGCATCAAGTACAAAAGAACTACCAGGAAAGCAATAATGGATTAATGGAATAGAATAAACATGATAATCGTTTGCGAATCGGTTGCTAAACGAAAGATGTGGGAGGAGAGAACTGCATGCATATTTAGTCCTAGTGTGGAGCCCGAATTCAATGCGGAAGCTGGGCTAAAGATAGCTGCCACATGGATAAGCGAAGCACCACTTTATTCTGGCAAGCTTACAAATTGTCATCACATGAGGCTGGATATCGATGTGACACAGAGTGCGCTTGCCTGTTCCGCCCGAGTTAGAGATTCAGATAAGAATACTTAAGTGAGCCCAGCTTAAATTGGACCTGATTCATTCGCGGATCCAGGTCACTTGCAACTGCGACGGCTGCTCTGGCACACATCTACGATTTTCGAGAGCATTTAATGGGCTGGCAAGAAAACGCTTTTAGGTGCATCCCCCGGGATCTCTTGTAGTCAGCGTCATGGATATCTGCCATCAAGGGAGGCCGAATCACTTGCAACTGAGCTTTGCTCTGGCACACATCTACGATTTTCAAGAGCATTTAACGGGCTGGCAAGAAAACGCTTTTAGGTGCGGGATATAACTAGTCTAGAGGTATTGATGAGGCGTGTGGGTGAACAGATGGCTAGGGTGGTGAGAAAGAGCCCAACCGGTGTGATGAGTCCTAAAGTTCGACGCGTTCTCTAGTTTACTAAGTATGCTTAAGTTTGCTAACTTGCTTACAAATCAACGCAATCAATAAAACAATACATTCATCAATTATTTATCAATTCAAACTGAAATCAAAGTATTAAGCAGATTTACCAATCAAAACTAAGGGCAAAAACACCAATTCTAGAAAACAATTTACAAATTGAAAGAATAATCTTTATGCACATCAACAATGCACTACTTTGCTTGGCAAATGATAAAATGCTTTAATAGTAAACACACAAACTGGTTTAGATAAGAATGGAAATCAAAAGGATAAGAATTTTAGCTGTGAAAGATTTTTGATATTTTTTTGTTGTTTGCGAACGATAAGCACCTGGCACCAAAGGTACAGAAGGATTTCCTACGGCAGCAGGAGGAGCGGGTATTTGACCGAAGACCATACCGTGACGACCTCCTAAAGGTCTACCGGGTATGTGACCTATATTATAACGATAACGATACAATTATGGTGAGTTGAGTGTGTGCGTTATAGGGGGATGTAGGCAGCATTAATGTGGGAACAGAAATCGGAAAAATAAACAAATTCGTAAATTATAAATAGCAGTACGGGGTATGTTATGTAGTTATGCTTGTGTTTTAGTAGGTGTGTGGTTGTGTGAAATAAACTAACAAAATAATCTTGGCATTTTGTGAGTTTAAATTGCTTTTCATATATTATGTATTAGTAATGCACAATAGTTTTTAGTGCAGGACGTGCGTTGGCAGTTGGCGCGGTTTTAGTTTCAGTTTCGGAGTTACAGGAGTTTGTATGCAGTTGGCTAAAGTTTTAGCATCGATTTTACAATTTGAATTTGGCATAAATATAGGGACGAACATAACGATTTAAAACAACGAAAAATACAATTTTGTTTGGTCGAAACGAACACAACAGAAACACAAAAGTCTTCATAACAATGAGAGAGATCAGGGTATCCGATCGGGAACACGGTGAATTTACCTTGTTGCGTTAGCTGGACAACGGCAGCGGGTAGCTTTGTCGAAATGGCCACCGGTGTGGCTCCAACGGCTGGGATTTTGATCTCCGCCTCCAGTGGCAGGACATTACCACTCGCTTCGACCGAACTCCCAGTTGTGGTGTTTGCGGTGGCACTTGCAGCTGTTCCTGGGAGGACTGTGTTGTTCGTGTTGCTTGCTGTTGTTGCGGGTGTTAAGGTTGTGTTGCTGCCAATCTTGCTTGGCACTTGAGATTGCGAATTCTGAAAAAGAAACATCGAAATCTGAATAAGTACAAAAGCAAACCTTGATACCAAAAAATATCTTTCTTTCATTCAGACAAATGCCTCGCAACTGCGAACATCCCTTTAAAAGCCAGAATCAATCAAAAATAGATCGAGAAAGGCACTCAGTTTGATTTTAACATCATAATGGCTGCTATAAGTGTGCATTTCTTTTAAGTTTCCTACCGTTTTCACTGTGTTATTGCTGATGTTGCCATCCAATGGTGCTGTTGATG